TTATAGCTCGAGATGCAGGTGAGGGTATGCATGTGTTCTCCGAGCTGGCCGATTTGGCTGCAAACGTTTCATCGTCAGGCTAGACGACATCATCAATGCGATTCATGCGGGCCACTTACAGATCCAAGTGATTATTGATTACTTACTGTTTCGAACTTCAGGAGTCGATTAGTCTACCTGAGCTGACCGGGTACTCAACGTATTGTTGGCTAGAGTCCGCCTCAATGACATTTCTTTGTCCTGTTGATCTGGGACGGAGTATTGATTTGATCCTCAGTGCTTTATAAGCAGTATCTAGATCTGAGTATCTGTTGATTGGGTTCTTCCCCGAGTACCAAGCCTCGATGAACACGCGTGCTTTTCGAGTTTTTGCCCTGCCTATGATCCTGACATTCTGCAAACCAAATTGATAATTTTCGGCGTCTATATGTACCGACGTCACGAATGACATCCTAGAGCACTCGAAACTGGAAGAAACACACCAGCTAGTAAACAACACGTTTGCTGATATCTGTTTCACTAAAGAAGAGGAGAGCAATTGTCAGCTACCATTCTTGGATGTTTTAGTAGAAAGACCTGCTGGTGGACAACTGGAGACAACAGTTTAGCGGAAAGCGACGCATACCGACCAAATCTTGAATTATCGCGGCAATCATCCAACGATCTGCAAGCTCATCTGTGTAAAAACTATATTTTAAAGAGCTCAGACACATTGCAGTGCGCCGCAGCCCAGGAAAGCGGAGGAAGATCATCTGTTCGGAATGTTTACACGGAATGGGTACCCCAGGATTTTCATTTTACGTTGTTTAACATCAATAAAACGACCAACGCATGGACAATCATTAGAGACGGACAAAAGGACAATCATTCTACCATACATCAACGGCGTCTCTGAGATGGCGGCGAGGCTGCTACCACTTTTCGGAATCAGAGTTGCTCACAAACCGACAGAAACTATTCGAAACAAAGAAGAAACCATTGGTGTGTTTCGCAAATTGTAAAAATACTATGTGGGCCAGACAGGAAGGCAGCTCGGCTCTAGACTACATGAGCATAGCTTAGTCATCCGCCCACATGACTGTAACTCCCTGATGTCGGTACATATGGACGCCGAAAATCATCGGTTTGATTTGGAGAATGTCAGGATTATAAGCAGGGCAAAAGTCGTAAAACACGCGAGTCCATCCAGGCTTGTTGCTCGGGGAAGAACTCAATCAACAGACACTTAGATCTTGATACTGCCTATAATGCAGTGAGGGTCAAATCAGTACTCCGCCCCAGATCAACAGGACAAAGGAATGACATTGGGGCGGACTCTAGCCAACAATACGCAAGAGCTGACTACACGGTCGGCTCACGTGGACCAATTGACCCCTGACGTTCGAATCAGTAAATGATGCATAATTGCTTGGATCTGTAAGTGGCATGCATGAATCGCACTGATGATGTCGCCTAGCATGACTTTGAAACGTTTGCAGCCAAATCGGCCAGCTCGGAGAACACTTGCGTACTCTTATATATCAATCGTTCCAGTACATCAAAGTCTGCATGTGACGGACCTCAAGCAGATCCCAATCTGTCTCACATCCCCGCGCCAGGTCTGCTCCCCAATGCTTTGTTGGTCAGGCTATTGAGCCGAAGGCTCCGGGCGGAGTCCCTCAAACGAACCTCCAAAGCACAACCGCCACCTCGCGTGCGATTGCCCACTAATGCAAATGCGTGCCTACGCGCAGAGTATTGAGCATCGGGCGCTGGAACTTGCGCACACTACTGGACTGGAACTCGAATGAACGCCCAGAGCGTCGCACTGCACTGGTCACGACGGAGCTGGCGCGCTACAACATCGATATTGCGGCGCTCAGTGAGACCCGGCTCCCTGAACAAAGTATGTAGCATAAAGAAGGTGCTGGCTACACGTTCTACTGGGTGGGCAACGCCACCTCAGCGCCACGCGAACATAGGGTCAGATTTGCAATATTCTATCGCTTAATTGGCCAGCTGGTGGAGGAAACCAACACGCAACAGCGCGCGACTGATGACTGTTCACTTACGGCTCGGAAGAGGTAAGTGCCACATTTATCAGTACGTACGGTCCGACCATGTGTTATCCTAATGACACGCGTGGTCAGTTCTACACTCAGTTATCCTTCGTGATACGGTCTGTGCCGAGGAGCGGCCGACTATTTCTGCTGAGTGATTTCAACGCGCGCGTTGGGCGTGATGCATCGGTGTGGACAGATGTCATAGGTCCGCATGGCATTGGTTCAGCAAATGCGAACAATGATCGGCGGCTTTCATTATGTGCCACTCACGGTCTGACGATCACGAACACTCGGTTGAAATTGTGTGCGAGGGATATCGCAACCTGGACGCCCCCACGGAGTGGTCGCGCTCACCTGCTCGATGGTCATCACACGTCAGCGTGATATGCGTGAAGTGCGCATGACACGTGTACTGCGTGGAGCTGTGGCACTGATCATAAACTGGTGCAGACCATACTGTACATATATTTTCTTAAATCTATGTAATTCACTCCTGCCGTGAATCGGCGTAAATTTAGCATTCTCTGTCTCGGCACTTTGGAGAAACGCATTGAGCTGGAGAAGCCGATGACTGCGCCTGTGTGATGTGGACTGCACAGCAACAGTGGGCGACCTATGGCATGCCATTTGCGACCAGATGACAGTTGCTGCCGATGAGACCATCGGGCGCGCAAACTGCAAACGCTCTGATTGGTTTGATGAGAACAATGCGAAGATTGACGCATTGGTGTCCGAGAAGAATGCAGCATTTGCTGTATATGCCGCAGGCCGCAGGGGCTTGGGGGGGGGGCTTGGTCCCTCTGTAGGCGCAGGCGTCCTGTGGCTGGCCACAGTGACTGGCAAATCCGAAACCGCATGCCGCCAAGCATATATATATATATATATATATATATATATATATATATATATATATATATATATATATATATATATATATATATATATATATATATATATATATATATATATATGAAGACCATGGATTAACCCTTTACTGTATGGAGTATCTGCGGCATAAATCAAGAGGTTGCTTATTTTCCCCCAAATCACCCCCCTCTTTTGGCGTTCAAAATCGCTTTTGCGGTCAGACTACAACAAACAGTCGAATTTAACGGCGGATATCTTTTCTATCAATGTAACTTACTCTTTATATGAACAACTTTATGACTGCAGGTTGGCGGCAATTTTCTGGCATGTTGCCTACGAGCAACAGTATACACTAACGGGTTAATGCTTCATACTGGGCATTTCTGCGCATTTTGTGATGTTTGAGTTCCGATCGTCTCCGACGACTGTCATTTACTCCCCATATCAGGCAACTGACTATCTCGGCGTGCTACTGCACCTGGTTTTGGTTAACTCCTAGGTGGTCAAAAGCGAGTGAATGAGGCAATTCAGCCATAGGCGGGGTGGAGTTTGTCTTCCTCTTTTCTGGGTTGCATTCCTCGGAATTTAGTTTCTTGTCATTGTCAGGGAGTCAGTGGCTCTCTTATATTTGTTTTTGACTCGGCTTTCCACCTAATACTTGCGCTGTTTTCCTACTCCTCTTGAATTCTCCTTGTTGCTTGAAGGACCATTTTGGTTTACTCGTTGTGCGAGTAGATTGTGATGCGCAACCTCTATGTTGATTGCGATTCGCATTGAAGAGTCAACCTTGGTCATTGCTTAAAGGATCACAGGCGTGCCTTGTAACCCGAGGGTGCGGGTTTGAACCTGCGTAGGGGACCGGGTGATCTTCGGAGTATCCGTAGCCCACACGCGACTATTAGTGGTTGCGGAGCCACGAAGTGTTGGTACGTCGTACTGGCATGCTGCTTATCCCCTTTTTATGCGATCACTGAGACCGCAGTCGAAGCAGATGCGAATTAGGTGTCCTACCGAAAACACTCCATGACGCGTTTCAACCTTATTCGATCACATCACGTTGAGATAGCAGGCATCGGAGCCTAGACCATTGGGATGTTAACCGAAACCTCTACCTCTTTTGCCACCGAGTCACGACGGACAACGCTTAACACAGCGGTAAACGCTTGATTGGAGGGTCATTTTGAAGTACTCGTTATATGAATTTGTTCGATGCCTGCTATCTTTACCTGAGTAGATCAAATAAATTCGAAACGCATCGTGTAGTGCAATTTTTTGAGCGCTCAACACCCAGAATGACATAGTTGTTGTTATCATTCTAATTGTTCAGTGTCGTGACTGTGGTTGGTCAACGAAATGGAACGGAAGGGGACTGAACTACTTTTCTTTTTACACCTGCTGCAGTATAACAATGTCGTGCCTTCAGTGGCGTAGCATAGGAGGAGGGGGGCATCCGCCCAGGGCGGCATATGACAGGATGCGGCACTTCTAATATCGTGGATTGTTCGATCCCAAGTATTTAGATCAAATATCAGTGTAAGCTGAGGGTTGGAGATATATATGTTACACTGTACGACCAACAGCACATTTGCGCCATGTGTTTCACCTCTGCAAGCGTTCTTCCCAGTGATCCGCTTACTTGGTTCATTGTGGTCACTTTCAACCTATTTGCCTGTGTTTCAAGCGGTCATCCATTCCAACGAAAATGAATGTGCACTTTACCTTTCGCTGATTCTGTGGCCTTCACGAGCCTTTTCTGCCCCCAGTCAGGGCGAAAATTTTACCACGACCTCGGACTGCAAATGTAGTTTCTACGCCATGGCGTGCCTTTGAAATAGTCGGCATATTTTTATGAGTTTTTAAACGTCTGTATCCAACGCGGTCTCTATTTGCTAAGCAACACTTCGCCTTCAATGTATTACCGTGGCTGTTTTCCACTAGCACGTTTCTTTTGTGTTTCCACTTTCGGATTTGATGAAAGTTGGTATGCACACCTGTATTCTCCGATCAACTATGCTATACACATTAACCCCTTGTATGGTTTTCCACTGCTTCGTTAGCTGCCAACTCTCTCTCTCTCTTTGGTATTTGTAGCCGGTTATTTATTCCACACCTGAGAAGCCGTCTGAGGTCAATCATTTTCACCCCTTGCTGTGATGCCTTGCTTGAAAGTTCGTTGCTGTACTTGGAATGTGGGAGATGAAGGTCCTCCACCGGACGACTTGCATCACCTATTGGGTCTGGGCAATTCAGACACACCTGAGATCGTCGCATTAGGGTGAGTGTTTTCACATGTTATCATTTCGTCATCTCCTCCAGACTGCAGGAAATTGTCGACCCGGATGATTGGAAGAAGCGACTAATTGAGCACCTCCATCCGGCCGGATATGTTTTGGTAGAGTTTTCCGTTTCGGTCTTTCTCATCCTCTAACGGGCGTGTTAGGTCAAGGCCCGAAACTGCTGGGCCATTTGGATGCTGGTGTTCGTTCGCAGAAATCTTTTGTCCGCCATCACAAATATTGAATCCGAAGTCACTCCCTCCGGTTATGTTGGGGTGATGGTAAGTCACGTTTGACCCGAATAAACACACACGCACACTTACCTATCTGCTAACCTTCTTAGGGAAACAAAGGTGGAGTGAGTGTTCGGTTTGAAATTTGTGGCGTAAATGTGGTATTTCTTTCGTGTCACTTCGCGGCACATGCGGAAAATACCAGAGACCGGTTAAATGTAGACTCCGTTTTGTCACTCATCTTCGTCTGCAGGATTACTTGGACATCATCACACACCAGACTTTCCGAGACGAGGATGTGCATTCCATTTTAGATCACGAGTAGGTAGTTTATAATTGCCTTTTTAACGCATTCCCCACAGCTACGTGTTTTGGATGGGTGATCTAAACTTTCGACTCGAAGGTCTGGACAAGCCCACTGTGGAACGCTGCGTCCAGGAAAATCGGTTCGCAGAACTTCTGTCCAATGATCAAGTAATTCCCACCTCTTTGTGCCGATGTCATGCCCCATTTAGCTGTGTATCAACAAGAGGAGGAAGTTAATTTTCGAGGATTTTAAAGAAGGTGAAATCAATTTCCCGCCTACTTTCAAGTTTGACAAAGGCACCGACAGATACGACAGCAGGTAAGTCCCGCAAACGCCATTAGCTTGCAAGCTGTCATCACCGAATTGCGTTCGAGCTAACCCTTGCATGTCTGTACGTGTGTAAGTTTCGCTTTGAGGTCAAGCATGTTTGCGCTGGTTTACCTCCACCCCACGATCAAGTTGTGCTACGTGTTCGCCTTTGTCTCACTGACGCTTGCATATCTGAACAGTTTGGCACTTTGTGGCCCTAGAAGGCTAGTCGGTGATGCGAGAACATTGAACCTACCAGGCTGCAATTTAGCTGGCTATTCAGTCAGTGTCCTGTCCTCCTTTAGCTGCTGGTCCGCAGTGAGATACAACCGTCGTGCTCCCGCCTTTTCTTCTCTTGGCTAATCCTGTATATGTGTATAGATCGATAATTGGTGGTTATCCGGCTTCCCACCCAGGTCAATGATTGAGCGAATTGTTTAGGTGTTCCATAGTCGGATGATGTGACGCCGTACTACTCCTATTCTAATGCAGTTAGCATCGATCAACCATTTGTGTTTGAGCCATATTCTATGAAGATAATCCCAGTGCGTTTCCGTCGCAACACCCTTTGCCTTCTACTAGGTGGTACTACAGGGCACATATGTTATCCCTTTCTTGGGAGGCACATCTTTATCCACATACCAAATCAAATTCGATCCGATAGAATGTGGAGTGAAGATGGCATCCTTAGAACCGGGGTTACAGCATTCTGTGCGCACAGTGCTTCACCGACCACGGAATGTTCTAGCATGTTTAAACACTATTCTGGGTACAGAATGCGCTTCTAACTGGCAGCTGATGACCATTGCCTACCCAGCTGTTACCATGATCGGTGGCTTGGTTTAGCTCGGTTATGAGAGTCGAAGGATTGGGTGATCTCAAGTGTAGCCTATTTTGTCATGTGCTTCATTAGGTTATACTTCCTACTGCTCTTTAACCCGACTATGTGACATGCGCGGTAGTCATCAGCGGATTCGCCGTCATGTTGGGTCTGATAAGTTTCGCTTATTTAGTTAAAGGTACTAGTAACCTCCTACTTCGGTTAATGATAGTTTTTGTGGAATAATACGTCCTATGGGTTGCGTAAACCATGTTCTTCTTTAACTTCGTGATAACCAACTCACTTTAAATTGGAGGCCCTGTACACACCTTGTCCTTTGCCTCTGTACACCCATCATTTCTACTGGGACTGTCGCCTTGTTGCGCCTAAAGAAAAATCCCCTTCTATTGCCGATTACTACGTAATATTTTTCACTTACGCGCTGTCACAAAGTACATATCTTTCATGAGATTGCGTTATCCTGTGTTTGTTTGTGCTGCTTGTGTGGATTTGACGATACGCAATTCTCGCTTCCTCACTCCGGTTTGTCTTAGGCTCCCAGCTTTCTCACCTCAGTTCACTTTCCTAGCCGTGATCCGCTCATCGAAGTAGAGTGCCCGCAGTAACTGGAACCCGCGTTTTCGTCAGAGTAAATGCGAAAAATGTGCTAAAAGTGATGGCAGGTAAAATGTTAGCAAATATAAAGGCGGCGACAAAAATAGTCTTCTCATTGGCTTGATAACAGAAATCAAGCAACTTCCCAACTGCGTCCCGTCGGATTATACTCCTGTTTATCGGTTAGCCAATCAATCGCTTCATATCTGCCGAAGTCCGATTTATCTGCAGCTATTGAATACATACAACTGTGGGAGATGTTTTTGTCCTATAGATGATCTCACGAAAGCGAAAGCTCGAGGTGCTTTTACCAGTCTCCGCCATCTGTGGCACCGGCGTGATATCACTCGCCTTGTGGGGCAGTCGCCCGTTCAATCCTGTACGATTACGAGACTTGTCCCATCAAATCGACCTAAAGATCTTGTTGCGTTCGACCAGCGATGCCTTCGCAGTATACTTCATGTCTGGTGAGAACACCACGTGTGTAACAAGCCTTGTCGGCGTTACGTATGTGGTGCAGGAAGAGCGAGTGAACCTCTCAGCATCATTACGTCACGCACCAGGCTCCGAAGGCTGGACCACGTGGTGCGCATTCCAGCACACCGAATCCTGCCTCCTGCGTTGTTTTCCGCCAGGGCTCTGGATGTAGGAAGAGGAGGGAGGCCAAGCGATGACTTGGTCGAGAGGAGTGAAGTCTCTCACTTCGAACTTGGCGTCGGTTGGTGTTTCCCGACTGCTGGGTTGGAATCCACAGGACGATGAACACTTTTGGTTAGATACACTAGCTGACGTGACGAGGAGCCGGCCTGATTGTCTTTTGTGTTGGGAGATTCTTTGTCTCTCCCATCCCCTTTAGCTTCCCCTCCACCAACGATCTCAAACCCACTGCATAGTGCGATTTAGCATTATGTTACTTTTTTGGGTTTTGTAGTTTGTAATCTTTAATCACATATCTTTTTTGTATAGGTAGGAATTCGTCACATCTAGACTCAGTCAGACAGCCGTCGCACACCCAGAAAAGCACTGTGCGCGCGTTTCATCCTTTCGGGAGTCGTCAGCAGTGAGCATTCCATCGGACCCGGTAGGGCTCGAACCCGCAACTCGACTGTTGTCAGTCCGTAATTGAGACCACTGAGCTACAGGGGATGGCAACGACCATCGTGAATAAGTTACTAGATGTGATATAGCGCCGCTCACTATCCACTGACTTACACGTTACTGCCGTGCAGAGGACAGGGTAGCCTCCGCACCAAGTGACGAGCTTACCAAACTTAAGCTGCCAATTAACTTATGGCATTATAAGCAGTTTTTTCTGTGTACTGAGTACGGAAAAGTAGTAGGGGGGTTGAATTCCTACTTATACCATTCAACCCCCCTACTACTCTTCCGTACTCAGTACACAGAAAAAACTGCTTATAATGCCATAAGTTAATTGGCAGTTTAAGTTTGGTAAGCTCGTCACTTGGTGCGGAAGCTACCCTGTCCTCTGCACGGCAGCAACGTTAAGTCAATGGATAGTGAGCGCCGTTATATCACATCTAGTAACTTATTCACGATGGTCGTTGCCATCCCCTGTAGCTCAGTGGTCTCAATTACGGACTGGCAACAGTCGAGTTGCAGATTCGAGCCCTACCGGGTCCGATGGAATGCTCACTGCTGACGACTTCCGAAAGGATGAAACGCGCGTACAGTGCTTTTCCGGGTGTGTGACGGCTATCTGAGTGAGTCTAAATGTGACGAATTCCTACCTATACCACATTCAACTCCCCCTGCTACTCTTCTGTATCTTTTTTATTACTGCACATTAGCTGAGGTGCGTTTCTCACTCTCGGCTAACGTGTATTGCTGTTGATTTCCTGTAGATTTCCTTCACTCCTTAAGGTCTTGACAAGCTTTACCCCTGCGTTTAATGTACTGGTGTTTACTTTTCTGTGTCTCATTTGTGAAGCAGAAGTCGGTTTATCCGAGATATGCGGTTTGTTCACTAAAACTAAAACAGCGAAAATAGCAGCACATTCGATCTGAGCATCGCTTCGATCTGCGTGGTTATTCCGCCGTGAGTAATAGCGACATTTTTGAGTCTATAAGATTTTTATTTTGACTTAGCTAAATCATCGGTAAAACAATTCACCGTGGCGCAACTAAGCGTCAACCAAACGGTTGAAACCGCCATGATTAACCTGATCGCGTTCTTCATTTCTTACATCAACCCGTAAAGCACGATTATTGCGGCACAATAGCTGAGGTGTTTTCCACCTCCAGCTAACGTGTAATGATGATGATAATGATGAAAGCACGATTATGCGCCATCCCTTCGTCTCCAATTCACGTTGCTTAAACTCAAAAATTCCAGCACTCCTATGTGTAAAATGTTAAATACAACGCGTTGGTAATATATCGGTACCTTGTTACTCTGCATTCTACAGTTTCCACTGGTTAGGAATGAGTTTAAGGTCATATAGTGCAATACGTCCTCCTTGCAGACATTCAGTGTCAGGGTGCTTGCGTCTTACAAGTACAATACGGAATGAAAGATTCCTATGCGCTAACGGAGCGGCATCGAAGAGACAGCCTACTTGCGACTTTCACTTCCCTTAGCTAAGTGTTACTCAGACACTACACAATTCGGACAATTCCTTCTTCCTCCCCTTATGTGTTATCAGCACACCACTGGCGCTAGTTCAGTGGTCCTCAGCCAAGTACAAGATTTGTCACAGAGCGATCCTCATAGAAGACGAGACTTACATTGTGCATCCATTACGTGACCGGTGACATACTCTCCGGAATTCATTTTAACCATGGCTCCCAACAATCTCACGCTCTTCGATAAAGATGAGCTATTAATACGTACCACGTGTTACTGCAAAAAGCCGTAAACATCACCACCTTGTGCTTTTCGGTCCAAATCATGTGTGTAGAGGAGCTGGCATTGTTCGACGCGATCACTACTCATTAGGTAACCTTTTTCAAAAACCTGAAGTGCTCCTTGGAACTTCTGACCGAAGGAGTCAGGTATCTGTGTAATGAAGAATAGATACACTATGGTCCTGTACACATGTTCTGTGTGACCCAGAGCCCACCCAAAATGTCCTGTGTAGGTTGGAGGTGTCCGTCTCCCAGTTTGGAATGACCCTAACGCCATTGAAGTACAAGGTCTTCCTGCGGGACTGGCTAGACGTTGCTCCTATCCTTACCATTCCAGATCATCATTGGAAGTGGTAGACAAGTTCGTTTACCTCATAAGCTGTCTCAGCGCTAATGGTTTAACGGCTGAGGACGTATCTAATGTCTCTAATGTCACGTCTCTAATGTTCGGGTTGCTTTTGCTAATCTCCGCCGCGATCTGGGTCTATCTCTGAAGGGTTGAGTTTATAATGCCCCAGTGAGAACGGTTCTGCTCGGTGGCAGCGAGTCTGCCTGTTCGCGCAAGGGATGTTGAGAGGTTGTCTGTTTTTGATCACCGTTGCCTTCGGTGCATTGATGGTGTGGCTGGTAACATCACACTAGTAATGAGAATGTTCGGTGGAGGATTATCAGCATAATTTCTCTGCGCAGACTTCAGTGGTTTGAGCAT